AAGGTAGAATACATGAGTCCTTCCTCCAAAGTGGCAGAAAAACCTACCTTCTTATCCTACTGGATTTGGGGCCCCACTCTCTATTCCTTTTATCCAAACTTCATAGAGCTTAACTAGGAGAGACCTCAGACAGTAGTTTTGTCTCTTCCGTTTATTATGAGGAAATGGAGAAGGAGAAAGGGAAAATATCTTACCCCATGGTCACACTGCTAGTGAGTATCAGAAGAGGCTGACTCTTTTTCTAGCTGGGGGATTTCTCCACTGATTTTACTGTGCTTGAGCTGCGAGCTACCTTTTATGTCACGAATCAGTACACACATATATAGACACAGGTAGTTTCTGAAATGACGCACTCTGATTTTTTCTATTCTGTTTGTACTCAGAAAGAATATCTTGTGTTTTAGTGCTAGTCATGTCCCTTAAACTGGTTCCACCACCTGCTCACTCATCAGTGACAGCCTGCAGTATTAAAATCAATGGGGTAGATAACCTGGCTAGTTGAACCCAGGCATATTTTCTTGATGTGATTCAATTTCTAGGATAAAGCAGCTAGGAAAACAGAGGCACCTCATCCACCACCCCCTAGCAGATGACACTTGTGAGACAGTCTGAAAGGGACTGATGTAAAATGCTTCTGGAGACAGCAGATGCTTCTGCCCAGTGTGGCTGTGCGCTTTGTTCACTGCACGAGGGCGCTTGGTCAAGGGACTATATGGGGCTGAAAGTCCTGCCTGTACTCCATGCTGCATACACAGTTCTCCCCAGAGACATTGAGGACCTTTTGGACAGACACAGAGAGCTTCTGGAAGCCCAGCATGCATGAAACTTTTTTTTTAAAAAAAAAGATGGCCAGTAAGGGGATCTTAAACCTTGATTTGGTGTTGTCAGCACCACACTCAGCCAATGAGTGAACCGGGCATCCCTATATGGGATCCAAACCCAGGGCCTTGGTGTTATCAGCACCACACTCTCCCGAGTGAGCCACGGGCCGGCCCATGCATGAAACTTTTTTTGAAGTTCCCTGGTCTGTGGTGATTTACTCGTGATTATGGACTGAGGTGCACATTCAGTCCTAATAAGACCAGAGATGTACATTGTGAGAGACATGGAAAATGGCACAACTAATTGTCTTGTGCATGTGTTTTCTCCCAAGGGGCTTTTTCAGATTTCTGCAGCATAGGAAATGCTCAAAGAAAAATCACTCTCAGGTAAATTTGAGAAGGATTCACTCCTATGCCCAGATATAGCAGGGGAAATGCAGAATTAAAATGTCCCCTTTTATTTTCTAGAAGGGCCTTTTCCAGTTAAGGAAGCCTCTTTGGTTTAGGTATATATATAAACTGCTGAGTGCGACCCACCAGAAAAACATGGCCAAAAAGCTACACAACAAGACATCTTCTGATGAGGATGAGAGGTAAAAGAATAGAGGGTAAATGATTTGGAACAATTTAAAATTTGTATCTACAATGAGGAGATAATGAAAGTTTTATTTTTATTTTATTTTTTTGGTGGCTGGTCAGTAAGGGAATCTGAACCCAGGACCTCGGTGATGTGAGGCTGCGCTCTGAGCAGCCGAGTTAACTGGCCAGCTTGTTGCTGTTTTCAAGAGTAAAAGCCTTGACATTGTTCTTCTTATCCTAGGACGCTCCCTGAATCAGCCCGAACAGAGGACTCCGTGTACATAGATATGCCTGACGAGGGAGAGGAAAGCGAGGTGTCCGAGGGGAACACAGAGTGACCCTGTCCTGCCTCAGGCCACCTGCAAATCTTATTTTCTCACCTTTAAGCACTACGTATAAAATACTTTTCACTGAAACATAAAATTCGTAACCAATTCTAGCTATATGGTAAGAAACTAAAATGTAAATAGTTAAATATTCATATATAAATAACAAGCGCCATGGGCAAGAAAAGCGGGACCGAAGGTGGGATCTGTCACGGGAGCCAGTGGTCCCACAAGAGGCAGTGCAGACAAAGGATGAACAGAGCTTCTCTCCTTCATTTCCCAATTCAACCACTTTCTTGGAACCTTAAAAATATGTCATCCTCAAGGGGTGTAGATTTTTAAATCAAATACCAGTTGCTTTGGTGCTCTCTCCCCTGGTTTATCAAGAGCTAGTCACTTACAACATACTTGACCTCCTGCCCACAAGGGATCATCCACCTTCTGGCCTTCGTCTTTGGTCTTTGGTCTTTGAGGTTGTCAGAGTATTTGGATCACTGAGCCTACCTGCACTGTGGGGCCACATCCTTTCTTTTCTCCCAAGCCCTCAGACTCATGCATGAATGTGTGTCCTGCCTTGGTAAGGAGTTCTCCACCCTTACAAGCTGGTAGAAAATTCATGTTGATTTTTGTTTCTCCTTTTAAAAATCCCAACCCTTGTATAGCTTGCAAGGAGGTGCTGGAGGGATGGGATAAAGAAGAGTGTGTGAGAGCAGTGATTTCCCAAGATTGCCCTCCGTGGGCCTTTATTTCAGAAAACACATGGGTAGGGTGACATCTCCAGTCACATGCAGTGCCCTTGCCTCTCCTGACCCCCTGTGGGTCATGTGTGTGCTGCCCGGCTCCCTCCATGTCCACCAGCACCACTTCCTGTCTCACCCCATGCAGACCCATGGCTGCATGATTCCAAGTGAGAACATAAGTACAATTTGCAGAAGATGGAAAGCTTCCCCCACGCCATCTTCAAATAAAAAGTCATTAATAAATCACATTTAGTAAGTCAGTGAAAGTTAAACATATTAGTAAAAGAAAACCTGTTGGCATTTCAGTAACATGGATGAGGAATGGTGCCAGCCACAGGAGAATGGCGTGGAGTCCCCGAGGAGCAGCGAGACACACTGGAGACAGCCCATCAGTTCCTCATCTGGTTGATCAGCTTGCCGATGCTGGGCAAGACACCTGTTCTCCTGACACCTGCCCAAATTACCCCCCAAAGTGTCTTACTGAGAATGAAAAAATGTAGTATTTCTTCAAGTGGTGACTTCAGTGAGCCAGGAAATATTTATTGAGTTTAAAGCACAGGACTAAATAGTAATAATAATAGGGAGCAGCAGCAGTAGCAGCAGCTACCATTACTTGCCCTCATTGCTGAA